CAAAACTATTTTGGTACATGTATACAGGAAAAAACAATAATTATAAAAAAAAATGTATAAAAACAATGGAGACCATTACCGTTACGGGACATAAATTAAAAAACGATATTGTAATACTAGGGATACGGACGTGGTTCAACCGTCCCTTCGTTTGGCGCACTCGCAAGCGCACGAAAACAAAATACAAACACTTGTTGCACGCCTGATGTGCCGCCGTCTTCACGACCGTCGAACAGACCCGGGAATATGGATGAGTGTGGATCTAGTCATGTCGGATAATAAATAAAATGCATGGTACGAGACACACACCCATCGACAATCCCGTTCTAGACGGAGCAGTGGCATCGGCGGCGGTGGCGTTTCACTTGGGTTTGTTGCTGCTTGAACTCGGGAGGGAGGTCTTGGCGACCTCTGGACGACGGGCTTGAGTAAGACGTTGTTAATCATCGATAAAAGATTGTTATTAGAAAAAAAAAAAAACCAAAAACGAATTGAACAAAATTAAAAACACGATCCCTGGTCGCTTACGACGAAGACTTACAAGAGAAAAAATTGATCAGGAGTAAAAAAAAAAAACAAAAAAAAAAATTACAATAATGCTTAAACGAAGAATAAAATTTCTATTTACAACGGAAGATTTGGTGGTGCATACTCACACAGCGGCCGCAGTAGTCAAATTTCCGTGCACGTCATTTTTCGTAAGCGCGAAAAGAAGAAAAAAAAAGTATAAGATACTAACATTGAAAACGTTTTCTCCGTCGTGGCCGAGTGGTGGGGGGCGATTGGGTTTTTCGAAGGTGGACGCCGCCGAGGAAATGTGCGGTATCCACACCGGCGACGGTGGTGGTGGTAACGAGACTGCGGCGGACGATGGCGCGCAAACGTGAGTCCGCGCGGAGGACGGCGCGCGCGTGCGGAACGTGCGAACTGCGGCTGTCGAGTGACGTAGGGCGGCGCGCGCGCGCTCACACGGTCGTGCCGATGACCGGTAGACGCGCGCCGTAGCGAGAATTTCGGGAAACACGAATCGTTCCAGCCGCCGCCTATCGCGCTCCCCCAGCGCGCCATTCCCTTTCGGACCGGAGCCGAAAATCGCCGACGAAATAATTGTTGTTGCGCGCCGGTTTTAATCGTCGTCCCGTGTTTGTATATTAAAATATAGGAAAATAAATATTTAAAATCTTATCACACGCGCCGAGGAAGTGCACGCGCACGGTGTGTCTCACGTTTTGTCGTTATTCTATTACTCGGCTGCGTGTACTATTCCTGACCCGTCACCACGTTTGCCGCTCGACACCGGCCACGTGTTCGTGCACGTTGTGTTGCACTCGCCGCTCGTTTCGGGAACACCCGACCGGACGGGGCTCTCTCCGCGCGGCTTACAACGTTCAACCACTTGAACACACGCTCTGACCTATTGTTTGGCTGCGTATGTTGTAAAAACAAACGCGCTACCCCCCCCCCCCCCCCAAACGTCTTATCTGAACACTGTCCGGAGTATTGTTAAACTTCAACAGTGTTATTGAAATTTTTTTTAGTTAACTTATAAAACATGTTTTATATTATGTTCACATTAAACTATTAATATTGCACAAGTTATTGTTATGATCAGGGCTAGGATTTGTATGCAACAGCATGTTTTTTTTTGCGACTTCTGATTATTGATTATGTTAGTAATGTTCACGAATCACCTCATGATGAGATACATAGTGGTATTTTTATTTTGCATGTTTTTGCATATTTTAGATAAAATGCATATTATTGCATATATTGAATAAAATCAATATTATTGCATATTTCGATTATAAGAATGCGAAAAATTTATGTTTTTAGTATATTTTGTAATTAACATTTATAATTTAATATTAATATTTCGTATTTAATTCTAGACCTGCTGATTAAAGTATAAAACTTGGTTATTTTTGTCAAGCATAAAATTTATTTTAAATTATTTTTGTTTTATTTTATTTTTCAATTATATTATATTAAGTTACATTTTTAATAATGTATACTTTGTTTTGTAATTGGTAAGTTAATCAATTATTTTCTTATATTTATAGTTAATGAATAAACGATATAACTTTTCAAAATAGGTGTATGAATAAATTACATTTATAAATTTAATAAATAATTATGTTGTACGTAAATACATAGCGTTGCTCACAGGCAACAAAATAAAAAATTGGTTTTTTAGAGACTTAAAATACCAAAAAATTGTTTAGTAATTTCCTCTTCATTAGGACTAATATAACAACCCAAAAAATTAAAAAATAAAAAATAAAAAAATCATGTATTGTAGGGTTAAGAAAAAAATCCAACCACTGATGTATTTCAATAAACAAATATTTTTTTTTTAATTATATTTTTGTGTTTGTCTTATAAAAATTTAAATGCATATTTTGGTAAATAAAATGCATATTTTACAATTTTTTATTGCATACAAATCCTAGCCCTGGTTATGATCATTTCTTCTGAGATTCGATTTATAAAACTGCGCTTGATAGATTATTACTTAACACTATTTAAAGCCTAGTTTGGTGTAACTGTTGGTTATAGAACGAATAAAATAAAATTTCAAATCAATTGGTATGGTGGTTTGTGTTGTACACTGAATTACCCGATTATGAATCATTTAACCATCTATGCCCATTGTCAACATTTTTTAAAATCCCTTCTTATTGCACGTTTAGAATGTTGGTTATATTTTGTCGTTTTTGAGATGTACCGATGATCAATGAGTGAGTGGTATTTGCATTTTTTTTTTTTATAAAAGCGATGAGTGTCGTTTCGGAGATGACGGTTAGGCTCCTAAAAATTATTTTCAGTAAATGTTACCATTTTTTAGGTGCATTTCGAGGTGTGTAACTATGAGGTTCCTTTCTGTTTTTTTGGTTGTTTTACCAACAATAAAATAAAAGCTACTTGTTTGGACCTTATCAAGTATACTGATGCTCCCCTTTCCTTTTTTTCATAACAAAAGATAGCCTATGTCCTTCTCCAAAGTCTTATCTATGTATGTATATTTAAAATTCGGTTAAGAAGTTTAGGAATGCATAAATGATATGGAAACAAACATTAATTTATATATAGTGAATACTCTTTACGTCGAACTCTTATAATTAGGGCTCGTAAGTTCATGCATTTGCTTATCAATCTTGCAAAGTTGTATTTATTGCTAGATGACATAGAAATCCATTTCAAGGTACCACGGTTAAATATGTGATATCTTATTTTGCATGTTTTTGCATATTTGGCATGTTTATGCATATTATGCAACATTCTATTAGAATATATCAAAAATCTAAATGGAAAATATATATAAAATTAAAAATAGAAATTGTATTATCTTTTCTTTTCTTACCTTCTTGATACTCGTACATTTAATGAATACATTTGTTTCAAAAGTTTCAGATTTGAAATGAATTACTAACAAAGACGTACATTATACGCAGTTCATGAAGGCTCAAGAATAGTATTAAATAGTATTTAAAATCTATTTTTTTTTAATTGTGCCATAAAAAAATAAAATATAACAATTAAAAAAATGAATGGGTAATTCATGTTATTTCAAAAATGATTTATGATTTTTTTAAGTAAGCATTTTTTAAGTGCATCATTTTAGATATTTAGTGCATATAAATGCATATTTTTGAAACTCTTAAGGCATATTTCAAATCATATTTTGCCAATTTTAAGTGCATAAATGTATGCTTATTTAGGAATATTTTAGGGCATAAACTTACAAACACTACTTATAACGAAACTTTAAAACGAAAATTTCTATATAACGTAAACATTACATAATAATGGTTGATTTGCTATATAACGCATTAGTCAATTCATTTTCTATAACGTATTAAGCGAGCCTCACACGATCAGTATTACTGTCAATAAAAATATTGACAGTATTTCGATATCCGATTTTTTCATCAGTCATCAGTATTGTTTTTTTATACTGACAGTACATTAGTACTTACCTCACACGATCAATAATACTGTCAGTATCTGAAATACTGTCAATATTACTGATCGTGTAAGGCTTGCTTTAGACACTCTCAATAAGGAAACAATATTTTATGTTTCACACATTTTATGTGTTATCGTACCTAATTATAAAAATAATCGGCAATAATGTCGAAATTTCCAAGAACGATTACATTCTTTCATTATCTACTTTTAATATCGTTATTATCGATATCGAATAGGGATGTTGATTTTATTATTGAGACGTAATGTCCAACATTATACGTATGATCACAGTAGCGCGCCAACATTCGTTATGGCAAGTATAAGAAAAACACTGTGTATTGGTCAAAAAATTGCTTTAATATGTGCGATTGAAAATGGTAAAAAAAAGTGATGTCGGGAAACGTTTTGGATTCAGCCTATCTACTGTCGCTACTGTCTGGAAGAAAAAGGATAAAATATTGCAGGCTAAAACAGAAGGAAGTTCTTGTAAAAAAAAATAAAAAAACTGAAATTTGAAGACTTGGGCCAGGCCATGTTGACGTGGTTCCATAAAGATCGTTGTAATAATTTACCTATATCTGGGCCTGTTTTGAAAACTAAAGCTGAACATTTGGTTCAACAACTTGATATAATAGATTTCAAAGCTTTGGAAGGATGGCTAGGAAAATTTAAACAACGTCACAATATTACCTATGGGAAAAATAAGTGGAGAAGCACTAAATGTCGACTTGAATGTTACTAAAATTTGGCTAATTAATGTGTGGCCAAAGTTGAATGAAAAGTACACTCCGGATAACACAAAAAACGAGGAGGAGCAAAAGAAAGATGAAGAGAATAACCTGACGAAGTAATACCAAGTATTCAACAAGCACTTAATGCGGTTAAATTATTAGAAAAGAAGGAACAAATCTACTTTACCGGACACCCTTTTTTTCTTCTTCATAATACGTGGATTTTTATGCTGAATTCAAAACTGTTTGAAAAAATTCCCGCAAACTTACCGTTCAAAAGTTATAATGTTCAATGTTGCAGTGATTACACGTGTTTCGGTACTCTTCGCTACGCTCCTCGGTGCCGTCGCTCCGCTCCGTAAATCGAAAATATCCCCCGATTTGTTGTGTAAAACCACCTCAGGTGAACCTCGGTCTCCCTCAATATTGCGAAAACTTACCGTTCAATAGTTTTGGAAATTTAAAGTTGCAGTGATTACGCGTTTATCGACACTTGTTGCTACGTTGGCCACGGTCAAAACATACTTAGGTATTATGATAAATTCGTTCTTTATCTACTATTGTATCGTAATAACTAAGTATGTTTAGAGTTTGGCGAAATAACTTACCTCGTGAACAGTAAGATTTTTGCGATGGCTGTAAATTTATTTGATTTGTGAGAGTGGAGTTCCATGGATAATGGACTCAGTTTAATAAATTAATTAATAGAGTTTCAAGTACTTTCTGTCTCACGTAAATGCCCGAGGGGTCATGATATGAAAATGATGAAAGACAGTAACGTTCTCGATAATTTTAAATGGATTTGTCGCGAAAAAATTAGAGAGAAAAAACAAACCGCAGAACCTTGTAATTACAGGTAAGTTGAGTAAGAATAATTGTTCAATTAATTAATATTAATTATCATGAATTGAATTAAAAATAATTTTGCAGTGCATCATTACGTAAAAATACTTTTCTACAAGTCATATTTATCACTATTGAATATTTGTGAATTCGTAAATTTATGGTCGATGAACTGTCCTTCCATTGTCATTCAAAAACAGCTTCGATTGGCAAATCAAACCGTGGTAGATTGGAGTTCGTTCTGCAGGGAAGTGGTATTCGACCATATGATGAAAAAAAAAAAAAAAAATTGAAAAACATTGGAGAAGTCGTCGAAATAGATGAATCTGAATTTGGACGCCGTAAGTATCACCGAGGACACCGGGTAGAAGGCCAGTGGGTTTTTGGCGATTATGAACGTGGAAGCGAAGATTGCTTCCTAATTCCAGTGGAAGACCGAAGCGCAGAAGCACTTGTCAGGATAATCGAAGAATGGATAACACCAGGCACAACGATTATTTCCAATTGCTGGAAGGTACGTATTACTTAGCAATATAAGGTGTTCGGTCAATACAATTTAAAATTAGGAAAATACCTACGCCCGATAATGTTTATAGTTAAAAATAATATTATGTGACACTATAACATTTAGTACCGATAAGATATCTTACTATGTAAGATAGTACTTGTACCTATTTCAATCTACTATAAACTATAACCATTATCGTGCGAGATTAAAACTCAATAAAGTCTTTAAAATACAAATTTTCAGGCATATAGCAGATTGAATGAAAAGGTTTATAATCATTTCACGGTTAACCATAGTGTTAATTTTAAGGACCCAGAGACAGGTGCACACTCCAACACCATCGAAAGCACTTGGCACCATGCTAAAGTAACATTACCGAATTATAAAAGAAAAAAAGAATTCTACGGAAGGTACCTGGCAATATATATTTTCCTGAAAAAATTTCGTAATCATGAACTAGACCCTACCGTACAATTTTTTAATACTGCTGGGTCATTGTACAGCGTACATAACAATGTAGAAAATGTTGATGTATAGGCTGAAGAACAACAGGCAGATGACGAAAATGGTGAAGAAGAGGTGACGAATAATTATCTAATGTATTTACTAATTATGAGTGAATTATATTTAATTTAAAAAGTGCAAAAAATAATTCTACCCATCGGGTTTGAACTTTGTATATTGTGTACCCAACTGTCCATCGTTTCTTACTACGCTACAACTTATATCAGAAATTAGGTGAAAGTTATTATATAGCATATTTTATAATATCGACAACTTTGAATTACCATACACGCGTAATCATTGCAACTTTGAAACTTCCATAACTTTTGAACGGTAAGTTTGCGGGAATTTTTTCAGTTTTGAATTAAGCATAAAACACCACGTATTTTGAAAAAAAAAAGTGTCCAGTAAAGTAGATTAATACCAAAAAGTATTTATCTTGACGATGATCCAAAGTTATCCCAAAACAGATCCCAATGACAGACTATTTTAAATAAAGTAATAGTATAAAAATAATATTATATTTAATATGTATAGTAATAATAATAATTTAATATAATGTAAAAATAATGATGTGTATGATATATAATATTACATAGGTACTATGTATTACATACCTTTATACATAAATAATAATTATTAAAATGTTGTTTTTTTTAACCCTCTCTATTACGAAAGAAATTTCTTGGTTTCTTCAGATTCGTTATAAAAAGTTTTCACTATATATAGATTCCGTAGTAATCTTGTTTCTCCGCAATAGCCATCAAACAATCAAACAAGTATATTTCAGAAAATGAACGAAAAGTTCATCAGCGGTCGTCATACGAGTTTCGTATAGTTTCCATCGCGATAGATTGGTGTTATACAAAATTAAAACAATTGGACGATTGTATTGAAGACTATAATTATTATCGGGTCTGGGGTACTGAGTTGTAACGTTTGAAACTACGAATGGATGATAATTTTTTTTAAACTAAGTATTATGACAACCCACATGTTCAATGAAATAATCGATTTAGTATTTTAGAATATATTTTGTATAAACAATAATTTACAACAGGAATATTTTGGAACATAATTTTATGAGTTATAAATTATAAACATTTGAAACATAAGAATAATATTTTAAAAGAAACTGGAATTTCCAAGTATAATCTTAGTAAAAGTTTATAGAGATTTTAAATTTATTTTATAAGTTTTATAATTTTTAGAAAAAAAAAAAAATCACCAATTATTATAATAATATTTCTCTTGATCATCGAGAAACAGGGACAAACACAGGGGGGTTAACCCCTCCCCCCACGGAAATATCAGGAACAAAATATAAATTATCCGACCTAAAAATGTATTACTAATTAATAAATTAAAAAACTTATTAATTCTTTAAAAGTTTCCCGTGGTTTGTAAATTGATTTGTACAATACAATTACATACCTATATAATATTTATGAATACTTGAAATATTTTCAAAACTTCCCCCCTCACCGAAATTTTTTTCTGCATTCGCCGCTGTCGAGAAAAAATAAGTAAATATAATAAAAAATAATTATTAAATCTGTTAAACAAATTAATGACAAAATAAAAGCGGTATTTATTTTATACATTTTCATCATTTTTTTTTGCAATTATTAGGAAAACTATTGGTAAATTCTTAAAATGGCACCACTCAGAGAACCATTAAGAACATTAAGACAACATATTCCAATAACTAACCTGCCAATATCGTGATGATCGGATCAATTCTTTAAGCAAAAAAATGGTCAACAAAGGTGGTATCTGACATGCAGGACAAAACCAAATATGTTTATTTGATATACACATGATACCAGAAGGTTTGCTATCCCAGGTCTATTCTACCCTAAATCTATATTTTGTATAATATAGGGTGTATAATAAATTAGGTATACTATAATTATAATTATTGTAATATGGTACTCTATAATGTTACTCTGTAATATGGTATTCTATATTAAGGAGGACCAATAAACCTTTAAATACTTTTTTCTTAAAGAAATGTACTACTTATTAATTTTTGTTTTGTTAATTACCATGAATTATACTTAGTAAACAATTTATTACCAATTATAGTTTTATAGTTCGTTCAAAATCCAAATTCTTAATAAGTATATAATAGAATAATATAAAAGAAATCATACACATTTTTAATCGGTTTATAAAACTGAATTAAATTAAATTAGATGTTGTAAAATGTTAAATTATGAATACTTTTTTACTGACTTTTTTACTTTTTTACTTATAATATAAGGCCAAATGTTTAAATTATTTAATTTCAATGAGTAAATTTGTGTTATTAACACACACACACACACACACATACATTTATATATATATATATATATATATATATATATATATATATATATATAT